AAAGGATAACAAACCTTAACCTTGAGGAACTTAGCAACCATTCACAGCGGACTCGATATGTGCAAACAGGATTTGCAGATATATATGCTCAGCTTTCTAAGAAACGGTCACAAGCAGTACAGAATAACCTTCAGCAAGGAAACAACCAATCAGAAGGCGGTGCTTCCATAAATATCTTTTGATTTTATCAATAAAAAATCTGTTGCCTGGCTGTTGTCTTCTGTCGTTACAACTATTCGAAAACGTTTCAATATTCTAACAGCCAAATCATGTAGTTCAGAGATCACTACAATATCGAAAAATATCCATTCATAAATTCATCATTGGTCGTCCGTGGAAATCATTTCCACTTAATGTCTATGATTTAAAGAGGTGAGACATTATCACGCATACATTCTTGGATAGTCGTGAGTTTTGTTTCTTACGTTCTCTACGTTTCACAGTTTAGGTGCTTAGGCTTAGTTTCTGAGGATGTTGTCTCACACAAAATAATCTCTTCTCGAGAATATACAGGAAGAGTGAGAAGGAATTCATTGAAGTAAACAGGACGTTGTGTTGCACGCGCCTGTTTGAACATCGAATAACATTTACAGTGTTGAAGTGGTTGTCAAGATTGATTTAAGTGATAAGAATGTTACGGTTTCTTCCAAACTTTCAACTATCCTATCCTAAGGGCTAACCGATTTTAATACTCGATTTCTTATGAATAGATTCGTTTCGTGGCAGGAGAGATTGAATCGTTTTGAACACAGACGAAATAATCTTGTTGAATGAAGGGAATAAACTTATTTTGGCTGAAAGTAAGATTTCAAAGAAATCTTGATGGAAGGAAATTTTAGGGACTCAAATTTTAAAATACTCCATAAGTAATAACTTATTTTAAAGTTAGTCAAGTAATAGGAACGAGGCTAGCTGGCTTTATTAACGAGTAGACTACCACAAAATTGTTCACCTATACAGATCAGCATATACGTAGGCGATCGGAAACGCCTCAGTAATGAGGTGAACACAGTCATTTTGCTGGTTATTAAAATAATCAAATAAGCACATGTATTAAGTGACTAATTATCACACATGGATCGCACATGTTGACCTTTCTAATCACTATTCAATGTTAACACGTATGCTCACACATACACACATGCATAACCACACACAAACGAGGGAAATCTTCAGCCTAAAAGTATGAATCATAGTACCAGTTCTATAATCCAAAGAGAATTAGTTCTTCAAGTGTTGGTTTACTGGAACTGATGAACTGATATCGGTTACAGAACCACTGGAAAACCACCACGGAGTACTGGACAGCTGTTTCATCAGCCTAGTTTAAGATTCACCGGCAGTACGCACACACAAAGGGTTCCGAACCCAGGAACTTCTGGTTACAAGGCGAGCTGGTAGGCCATTAAACAGCCATTGGGACCCGATCCAATGGCCAGCCAGTCCAGGAAATCCAACCTCTGCCAGCTGACAATGTAACGCGACTGGCACTTGCCAATGTCATCCGTGGTGGCGGCGAGTATTTTTCCTCACATCCGACCTGCTTTTTACCCCACTGGTCATGACTTCTTGCTGAAATCCAGGTTGCTGCTTATCGGAATAGGACCAGTCACTAATGAGCATCAGATTGATATTCTAGTGTTGGTTTGTAGGGATTTGATCGGTTACAGGATTTCATAGTTCACTCGTAACCCAGTATATTTAAAAGTAGCTGAGTAAAATATGATGTACCATCGATCATTTACTGACCTCAGAGACTAATCAAAATTACTAAAAATATGGCCGACTACAATTGCTATAATTATAAAAGCTCAGCCGCAAGATAATCTGCAAAGTAAGATAAAATAGGGATCGCTGTGATATAAAGTTTAACATTTCATTTCACTGGTATCAAAAGTGGTGATTACTAAAGAAATTCTCTTTATATCTTTCTTGCATTGATTTGTGCAAATTTTATTTAAAAGGTGATGTGAATGTAATATTCCCTAGTCGTAATCTAACCGGTTTTATGGTGAAATTTCCTAGCTGCAGATGCATATTCGCGGTCAATGTGGTTCATTAAGTCGGTAGATGGGAAAAAAGAAAGGAATGGGTTGAAATGGTGCTGCTTCGCGAAGTGATAAAGATTTTAATGTATAACACTCTCTATATTAATGCGTAACATCCGCGTCGTGAAACCTAAAGGTTGTGGGTTCTATCTCCTGTGAACATATACAGGCGACCTGTTTAACAATGCCAGACTATGCATGACGCTATGCAATACAGACTGATTGACGTCAGTCACAAACTAGTAAGAAATAGATGCCATGTACTCTCTGGTCTTTAGTGATCTGTAAACCCATGTTGATTCATGACGAAATTTTCATTAAATGAGCTTTATTGGGTAAACGGGCATTTGGATGTTTATCTATCATCCGTATTTCAGCAGAGAGGTACTGAGAAGGAAAGACTAAGAATATTTCTGTATTGTGTGCTAATGACAAGATTTTTGACGTAGTATATTGCGTGATCTACTCTGTAAGAATATGAATAACGTGGCGGAGAGTTGCAGAGAGGAGAAATGAACCATCGATATGAAAAAAACATATGGAAAGCAGGAAAGAAAGACAAATGAAGCACAATGCGACGAGCATGTGCAAACGGAGATTTCAATATGAGATCACTGCATTATGCCATAATTGTACACCATTTTGTCAAAGAAACAGTTCTGCTATCAGAGGCTACTTTTTTCAACCGTTATATTATCTACTGAATGATTATGTACTTCAAACAAAGGTGTGGATGGCAATAGAATAAATAAGTTATTCAGTAAGAAAATCATTTTTAAGTACCATTCCGAAGTTGATCCAAAAATATTTGAGTGAACAGATGTTTTCACTAACTTCCTCATGAAGCAGTATACGGGTAAGAAAGATCCAGAATTACTTCAGATCAAGGGTAGGATTAATAGAATTGCAAATAGGGAACAAGATGTAGTAATAAATGTAATAATAAACCACACACTTAACCCTGGATTCGATTCCCAGCTGGCTTATCGCGTCCATGGTTCAACAGACAAACGTAGAGACTTGCTGAATTCCTCCACCATCGATGGGTCCTTGCTATTCTTTGAATCTCATAATATACAGATTAGATCATGGGAATTACTAAAAAGACGGTTGCAGCGAAGAGAATTTTCTTTTATTGATGAAGTCATCAACTACTAAATAGGTGAGAAAGCTCTAGAATCATTTCCAGTCAAACATCAAATATGTTTTACTCGTTTTTCATTTGATATCCTGGATGAAATTACAGAATCTGATTCTCCATGTGGTGTTAAAATCTCTTACAATTTTTATCCAAAGCATGAACAGAATCTCCCCCCCCCCTCAAAAAACGCTGGTGATTGAATACCTTGAAATAATAGAGAAGATTTGTAGCTCAGGTGGATGATTTGCAATTAACAGTGTTCTCTGAGCTGGTTGGTTTAGTTGCGAAGCTTTCGTCGTCCTTCTGGACAACATCTTCAGCGCCATATGCCATATAACTGCAGATAACGAGATAGATGAAACGTGCGTTCACGGCTTCCTGTCGATAGCTCTCAGGCATCTGGTAAATTTATAAGCCTCCCAAAAATCAATTTTAGCCTTAACTACTGGATGATGAATATATGCAGGTATTTCATCATTCACTAGTTAGAATTCATGGGTTGGCCACTGAATCGGGTCCCAGTGACTGAATGGTATACGAGCTTGCCTTGTAACCAGAAGGTCCTGCATTCGAAGCCTGTTGGTGGGCGAGTGCTGCTGATGATTCCCAAACGAGGATGAAACGGCTGTCCAGTACTTTCTGGGTTTTCAATGGTTCTCTAACTGATACCAATCCGTGGTCAAACTCGAGAAAACATTCACTATATGCCAACTTCTGAAATTTTAAGAGAAAATAATTAAAAAGGAATAATTTTCTTCTGTGAATTAATAATTGATCAGAAGGATGTGGAGTAATGCAACTGTGTTATCTTATTATCTGTCTAGTGAGTTAATTAAATATTCATCTAAAATAAATGTAATTAACAGCTGATAGTCGCCAGCTGATCAGAAGAAAAGCCATCGTTTTCCACTTACTGACTCCCATAAATAAAACATCATTGCTACATTCGGCAAAATCACTCCCCTCCAATGAATACAATGGGTATAAATCACTGGGCAAGTCAACTAATTTAACGTTGGTTTGTCTAGGTTATGACTGACGTCTCCTAACATAGGATTAAGTAGACGAATATTTCACTGGATGACAACTAATGCAAGTACCAAATGCTTTCATCGAAAATATATGTGAATGAGGCATCAGCTGATGTTGGAAGCCAACTACGAATTTACTAATTTTCACTTGAAACAGAATTGCTATTTATGGTGTTTCTAAAATGATAGTGACCAGATAATCATTTATTTGACATATATGAAGAACCGATTCATCATGTGACCTCATATAATATGAGACCGCGATGTTGCAAATCATTGTTTCCATGTTAGTAATTTAAAGATCACCGGTTTGAATCGTATTGTGACATGGGTGTTCATTTCACCTCTAATTATCATGTATTCTGTCCCCGCCTCACTCAAAGTCGAGCGAACTGTGATATCAATATCGACAGTTTTTCTCCAAATTTCAAAATGTCGAGAGGGATCATTTTGTCTAGCTATCTCCGTTTATTTCAACCTATCTCGTCTCTTATTCTCATGCCAGCCCCTATTTGACATGTAACAAATTTAACAAATATTTACCCTTGAAGATTGTTTAAATTTAGTTTACATTATCGCTTTTTCATACCCCCACAAATTCACTGATTGGTCAGCTAATCGGAAGAATTTGCTGGACAATTTGCTATCCCCAACACAACACAATGGCAACCAGTCACATGCTTCCCGTTGATTGGTCAGTCAACAGACATGTGCCATCAATTCATTTTAATCACATTTTTGAATCAGACACGCGACAGTTTTCCATACACAACAAGAATACAATAACATCATGGTGTTTCTTGACAAAAGAAATATGCTAACTGATAATCGGTCGTCTGAAAACACTGTCGCACGTAAACTCTTTGCAAACAAAATGTTGAATAGACCAGTGGCATCTGAAACACCCGAAATGCAAGCTTATCATGCATGTCTTCAGAGTATGAGAAGAATTCAAGACAAGTACTGTATTGACTTGAATCAACTGAACAACTTGAATCCAGTGAAGAGTGAACAGTGTGTTTGGAAGTGGGAATTAATTGACTTGAGAGAGGAATATGTACCTTCGTTTTATCACCCGCGGTGTTATCGATCCGATGGGGCACTGAATTCTCACAGCAAAAAAACAGTAGGCAGTTCATCTGTGAATCACTCAGTCAAGTGTTACGAAAGATGCAATATTGTGGAACCGAACTGCATGAAGGATAAACGGAGTATTTCATTAAGTAATGAGATCAAACACACAGGATCTAAGAGTCATACATGCACTTTATTCACACTATGGAAACCGAAAATTCAACGTGCAAAGTCTGTAGTTTCAAATAAATATCAAGCATTTGAATCAAGTAAAGCAATGAAGAGAGATCCGGGAAAGTTCGATGGGTCGGTTCATCGTTCTCGAAGTCTGGATAATTATCCCCGTAGTTCAGTTGGTGTCGGCGCAAGTGACTGTCCTGATAGAAACAAATCAAGGGAATTTTATTGTTCTGCTGATTTCCGATTGGCTGATGCTAAGGAAAGTAAATACCATTTGGGGCGTGACTCCTCAACTCAAAAAGTCACATGTAGACAGAAACAGTCAACGATTCCTACGATATTTGACAACAATACTCGACGGAGTCGCTCTACAAATAATGTGGATGACTTGAAATCAACTGCTTCGAAATCTCCAACTGAAACACAATGGTAAGTATTACACAGTTGTTCTCTTTGTGTTTACTATAATGAAATGCTGGGAAATTGTGAGACAGTGACTGAATGGAATTGGGTGGGTGAGGGTAGCTCGGAGATTCGGCGTGACAATTTCAGTCATATAATAGTCACTCTGTGTATGCACACTCATCATATATGTATATTTGTTACTGTACTCGATCATACACATACACGCACTAGTTTATTCCATGTAGTTCAAACACGCGACCTCGCCAGAACCTAAGTATTATCGTATCCCAATGAACTCCCTGCAACTACACAATTATCAGTTGAATGCTCTAAGTGATGGCAGTATTAGTTTTTAACCATTAGGACGCTAGCTGAAATAGGATTGGAGGTGTACATTCGTCTGTTGGTTCATATGATGACATATGCTTTTGTACAGCCTGAAGTCAACACCTAGTAAATAAGTAGTCATTAATTATTCTATGAATAAGACTTCAATGTAATGTAGGTATGAGTAAGGGATGTTTGAAATTACATTGTAGTTTCTGTTATCTGTGTAACATATTTTTAGGCGTTGTTATTAAATGCATAATCAATTAGGTCAAATTGCTTTCCCCATTACATGTAAGGTTACTTGTTGAGGTCAAGCGTGTGCGTTTGAGTCAGCCTGCATAGTCGGTTGTTGTTGTTGAGTGAAAATGAAATTTGCATAGGGTAGAATTAATTGTTGATTACCATTTAGAAGTTAAGTTGATTAAGTGAATGTATCGACAGGTGTTGGTTTTTTCCTATTGTGTTTCACTTGTTATTGTTGAATTTCTTGCTTCTGTTAGAACTATATGAATGAGGAAAAAAGTAAATGAATAGTATATTATCAGACATTTAACATAATCATTTAATGACATGAAATATTTCACAATAATTGAGTATATTTGAATACTGACCATACACTGAAGTTTATTGCGTAAACTTCCTTTAGATGCATCATGGATAAAAAATGGCTGTTGAGTAAATAAGGACTGACGGTTAGTTTGTAGATGTGTCAGATTATATGAATATTATGTAGTTGAATATAACATCTACATTACTTGTTCTGAAGCTTACTAGACTTGCTTGTTTAGTTGAGTGCTATATTCTTGTTAGTCAGTTAAGAATTTGACATCAGTGCTGATCTTAGCTATTCAGAAAATATTTGGTACATGACAAGCATGCCAGTGAAACCCCACTAGAATATCTTCAAAATAATTTCGCATGTATATTAACTTCATGTAATCTCTAAACTGTGCTTCGGTGGCATAATGGTTAGGACGCTCGTCGACTATGCACATGGTCCGGGGTTCGATCCCCAGCCAACACACTTCTTTACCTCGCTAAGCCAGAAATAATAGTGGTGAAGAGAAAAGACTGGACATAAGGCAAGCAACCCCATCCTGTAAAATAAACACTGCTACAGAAACTTCAGGCCACTAGCTTGAACCCCTATGTTCCACTGGGGAAAGTGAAGGAAATAAAAAAACCTCTAAACTTCCAGGCTATATAACCAGTCTTCATTGAATTATTTCTCAACGAATTACTGTTGGCTAGGATTAATTGTCATTTTATCCAATACTTCTTAGGGTTAAATGAATTCTGTAGATTAGGTTAACGGTATACACAGTGAAGTAATTGACTTCAGCTTATTGTTGTTTTGTCTTGCTCTGATTGGTTCGAACACATTGATCCTAGTTTCACAGATAGCTGTAATGTGATGTTAAGAAATGCTGTGGAAAGACTCACAACTATCTAGTTAAAAGGTTTATGAATCAGCTATATGTAATCTCTTCCAGAGCATATCCATCAAATGGACAGTATCCTATGCGATTTTCCTTAGTCATTTATTTCATCATTCTGTACTCAAAATGAATTTTTCCACTAAGAAGAACAATTTTTCCGCAAAATGTGAAGAGGAAGAGGGGCAAAGTTAAACTTTCAGCACCACTAACCACCACCAATCAGCGAACGACCTTCAGCGGACCAATCACATGGAAGAGGGATTTTTGATACAGGAAAACGTATATTTATGGAAAAAAAGCATAAAACTGTTACATAGGGCATGTTTATGTAACATGTGAGAGAAACATCTCCCAGTTAAGCATAGAACTGTCACACCACATATTCTGTACATAAATATTCATCCAAATAACTATAAATGAGATCCTTTTGAGATCCATTTATAGCTCTAATCCTATTTTTCAATCATCCCCAAAATCCTTCAATAGAATTTGTATGTATCCTCGTAATAGGATCGACAAAATCACTAGAATGGTTCACTCTATGATCCCTGTTTCACGAGTCTAGTGATAATAGGTATTAAAGTAGTTGAATTTCTGTCTGGTATTCTCTCCTCGAATCCCTTCTGCACCCAAATATTGTTGGCTCGCTGACGACTACGGTTGTATTTTTTCTTCACTAACACAGTTTCGTCCACGTGCACAACGATGCCTTCTCCGCCCAACAATGAAATAATTCTTTTCATTTTCCATGATGCAATGTCTCTGCTGTGCTGGTACCACTGAACTGTTGAGACGAGGCTATTCTCGGTTTCAGCAGCTGCGCCTGTCACAGGCTGTTTTAAAACCCAGTACTTGCAAATATACAAAATCTGCGTTAAGGAGAGACACGACCTAGCAAAAAATGTTCCTATGAAATATTAAAATTATCAGCTTACCTTCTCTAATGCTAACTTGTCTCAAAAACAAATTACACAACGATGTACATATCCATCAATCGACCTGCTAAAGCTTTTTAAACTCATGATACCACCACATGAACAAGTCTTCTCCTTCCTAAGCAACCCCAAATCCAGGCAATATTGCAAAAACATTATCCTCCTCGAACTGAAAGCGTAACTTCGTTAGAGCACGCATTTGAAACGAATCAAGCGCTGTACAACACTGAACTCACGTTCATGAATCTCTCATTGAACCATTCGACGTCGTTCGTTGATTGATGGTAGTCAGTGGTGCTTAAAGTTTAACTTGGCTGGAAGAGGAATTCGTAAAAACTAAATTAATCGAATGTTTAATCTGAAGTCAGGTATTCTCTGTGTGTGTGTGTGAATGATGAATCGCCGGTGACAGTAATTAATAGTTAAATTCCAGACCCCGTGTTTGTATAGCGACATTACATCTTAGATAGGAAAAAAAGGTTCAATCTGCTGAACACTTTCAAAAATGAACCATGTACAGCTGTCCAGTTTTGAGTGGTTCTCTAGATAATGTCAGTTGGTGAAGAAGCCCATCTGGATTAACACAAGATGAGCCAATTTACTGTAATTACCTTGGCTTCTTAGAAGTGTCATTTAAATATGACGGAGTTCCTGCATATGCTGTACAAACATCATTTTGGAATATGTGTTCTGTTAACGAATTTTGTGTATAATAACTACTATTGATTCATTTGTTTGTTCTTTCTCAGATATTCTCTGGTTACTGACTTATTACGCATTCAGTATCCAATATCAACGTCCATACAGATGTTTCTTTGTCTCAGCGGTGTCATGACCAACTCATAGTGATAATAATGACTTATTTCTGTGTATATATTGTTATTCATATTGTTAATATTCAAATTTAACTTGGAAATACTTTCATAAATCTTCCTTTATTTTTTTAAAAATTAGTCTAATTTACTTATAAATTTATCTATGCATGAAGTCTACTGTACATTGACAAGTGAAACATGCATCAAATTACAAAGGAAACGCTGTACAACTTGATAACTTGTTTTAATTTCCTCAACTTTCCATAATTAGTTATATTTCTTTTCTTTCATAGAAGTGTGAAGTATAAATCTTTCAATAAATACTAGTATTTCTTAATCAGTATTGAAGTTGAGGGAGATAACCGTGAATCTTATACTTCTCTGATCCACTTGTTATCTTAGTTACAAATGGAGGTGATAGCATAAATTAGTTAAGTGAAAGCTGCTCAAAGATGAAATTCTTATGTATCAGGTCAGAGAATGTTTCAACAAGGAAGGACGGTTCAAAAATAAAGCCAAATTTATTTAATACATAAATTTTTGATGGTGATATCGTGTGTGATAAACTTGGACTTGTAGATTACAAGTGATGTCCCAGAATGATTTCTGCTTACATTAGAGTTTCAGTTGAATAGACTGAAGTGGAAAGCATAAAGAAGATACATTTGATTTGCCCATCACTTAACGCATCTGGTAAGGAAAGGAACGACGGTACTTTTAGAATACTAAGGAATTGAAGCCTACCTTGCATGACTAATTATCACTTCGGGTAACCATAATCTCATTTAGTCTTGACATACTGAGAGAATTCAGCATACCCAAAGCAGTCTCGCAAATAAAGCAAGTGTGAATCCAACATGCTCAGATATATGTATTCACTGACATAGTTTCTATTTCGGTTCCCCTTACAAAAACAACAACTACAACAAGATTTTAATCAAATTACTCAACGCTTCTGTCCGAATAAACGACTGTTTAATACCCGATCAGTCGTGCATTCTAAAGCAGTTTTTAACTGGGTAATGTTATAATTAGTTCGAACAACTGAATGTAATTTTTTTCCGAAAATCTATTTTTGAGACATGAGATACTGGAGATGAATTTTCTGAAATAGACAACACAAACTGATTATAAAACAACAGTCTCACTTGGTCAAGTTTTAATAAGTGTGAACATTCCATTATTAGGTTTACAGAAGTATTCAGCGTTAAATTCATTTTGAAACCAGTTGAAAACTACACCACAACAGACGAATAGTTGATAATCCTGTAGGACTGTTTTGCGTTGTATATATAATCTTCTTCAGATATGATCTTTACTACCTCCCTGAGTAAGGGTATAGTCTTTTTTGTTGAAATTCATCAGTAAACTGTTGAACTACATTAGAACTAACCGCCTAAAAATATTCGCATATAATCCACGATAACTTGACAAGTGGATGACTCAGATATCTGTGAAAAGATAAATTTCTGTGATTAAGTGGAAATTCAAGTGTTGGATTACTGGGAT